GCTATTAACATTCAGCTGAATGCACAAAGATGTGTGGAAGAAGTGCCGTTTGCTCTGAAGTCATAATGTCAGTCATGTTATTATTTGCACTTTTTGATTTTCTTATTTTGAATGATCTTATTCATAGCCATGTGCACAAATTTGGGCACCTCAGGTCAAATGACCTTTTGTTGATTTTCTAAGTGAAAGTTAACGCAGAGAACATGGTTTTACACACAGTTACTTCTGTCAGCTGAATTTATTGGCAGAAAACTCAACACATAGAAAATGTGCACTAAAATTTGCAGGAAAGTGACATATTTAACTGTTTTCTGTAGAGGATTTTCTGTAACTTATTTTCACTTAGAAAATCACCAGAAACATGTTATTTGTCCAGGGGTGTTCAAAATTTGCATACAACTGTTATTACTGTCCTAGCAGCGTTCTTCTTTTGTAATTTTACATAACAATTTGTTTTTGATCAAAGTCACATACTTATTAATATGATTCCAGACATTATTTTGCTAATTTAAATAAATAAATTGATATATTTGGATACTACTCAATGGTGTGGAAGATGTTTCTGGATAACAGTGGATATGCTGTATTACACAGGTGTAGCCCATTACCTCACTAAATATACATGCAGATCTAACTAGCAGGTGGATCCACATGGCTACCAGATCAGGCTAAATCAGTAATAGCAGATAGGAAAGGAAGCTTCATTCAACAATTGCGGATGCAGCCAGAGAAACCTGAGGGCTCCTTATACTGAAAGCAATGCTGAAAACACAGAGTAACAAATGAAATGAAGGTGGAAAGATCAGTAGCACGGTGAGACTTCAGAGGAACCAGGACAGGGAAACTATGACAATCATGGGCTGCGTCCAGAAACTTTTGGCTTCTATTGCTGCTGCTCCTGTCCTGACCACCACTTCTACTGCCTGGAGGAATCGAAGAGATGACATGAGCTTGAGGAATGGAGAGAACGAGCAGAAATTGGGGAAAATATTTTTTCTTTCAACATCAATAAATCTGATGTTGAATGTTGATGAACTGAGCCAACCACAACATTCGCTTGAAAGCACTCCCACTACACCTGCATCTAATCACAGCTGCTGCACAGAGCCAGATGAATTACGTGTTCTTTTTTACTCCATGTTCAAGTAAATTAAATGTAAAATTTATTTGTATTAATTTATTTTTATTATGAATTTTAAATTAAAATACAAGGAATATATACACACAAACATAACAGAGTTTAAAGTATAATTGGATTGCTCCATGTTTGTCTATCCTCTCTGAGCATGCCTGCAGTGATGTCACGTTAAAATATGCAAAAGGTTAGTTTAACTAAGCGGCATGCAGAGGGGATGAATGCCATTGTCAATTTTTATTATTATTATTATTATTATTATTATCATCATTATTATTGTCATCATTATTATTATTCACTGCCCTGTGCACATTGCCTTGCATTTCAGCAACCTTCTAATCACTTCTAATCACTGCAAGCAGCAAGTGTATCTTTTTTTAACGAGAAAAGTCTTAATGCAACATCTTACTTACATATGTGAAAATGCTATTTGTGTAATATGTCATTCTGCTTTGAGCAGCAAAAAATGTATATAAATTTAAATAAGACCCTGCCTCCATCTTGCTTTATTATTGGACAGAGACATTTTTTCATGCCTGACTCACTGCACTGCATGTCTCAAGCGAGGAATTTCTTTCTTCCTGTTAGTTGTCATCACTGACAGTGAGTTCTGCTTGCTGTGTATGAGTGTGTTACACAGCAGAAAGTCTGACGTCATGATACACGTGTGTGTGAGTGTATTTCTTTCTCATTGCACAGTCATCCGGAATAACTGACCACTTCCCCTTTTTTCCTATATTTGTGTTCAGTATTTGTTTACTATCTCAAGAACGCACCAGCATCACTGAACAGTTAACCTCTTAAATGCTAGACATATTATTAAGATGAAAGCATTTTTTTCAGACATGTTATTTAATAAGTACTCCATTCTGTAAGTACTATGCATTATTGGACAGTATTTGTTTTTACGTGTATAAAACTTTTCTAGTTGGTTATATCTCAGAAAATTGAAAAATAACTGACTTTGGGCCAAAAAAAGGCGCAGAACTACTTTTTCTGTGCTAAAAAAACTTTTGACAATAAGAAGTAATATCAGGTTATTTTTTGACTGTAACATATGCACACTTTGATTAGACTCTATTTAGCCACTATGTTGAAAAGTCCCTCAGCTCACGGCCCAGTCAAACTCTGCTTGTTTGGTGTAAACTGTCTTGGCCTGTAGCCCAGTCAAACTCTGCTTCCATGGAGTAAAGTCTCTCAACCTGAAGCCCAGTCAAACTCTGCTTCCGAGGTGTAAAGTCTCTCAGCTCACGGCCCAGCCAAACTCTGCTTTCGTGATGTGAAGTCTATAGCCCCACAGCCTAGTCAGACTCTGCTTCCATGGTGTAAAGTCTCTTGTCACACGGCCCAGTCAACTCCGCTTCCATGGTGTAAAGTCTCTCAGCTCACAGCCCAGTCAACTCCGCTTCCATGGTGTGAAGTCACCAGGCCCACAACCCAGTCAAACTCTGTTTCCGATGTGTTAAGTCTCTTACATCATGGCCCAGCCAAATTCAGCTTCCAAGGTGTAAAGTCTCTTACTTTACAGCCCAGCCAAACTCTGCATTCAAGGTGTAAAATCTCTCGGCCCTCAGTCCAGTGAAACTCTGCTGCCATGATTTAAAGTCTCTTGGCCCACGATCTAGCCGAACTCTTCTTCAGCAGTGTACAGCAGTGTCTCTTGGCTGAGGCCTACACTGTAAAAAGTGAAATGGAGCACATTTTGAGATTTTAGTTTTGAGTTTGGAATTGATGTAAACTGTTCTTGTTTACCAAATTATTTTACTGTAATTTGGAGAACCAGTTAAAAGTGCTTTACCACATGCTTTACTGCATGAATGTGCATTTAAATAGCCATTCTGTTAAAATTATGAAAATGCTTTTCCTGGTTTTGTGCAAAAAGCCTGGAAAGTTGCTGGAATTGGAGCTTATGATTTGTTCTCATCAGTGGCCTTGTGTGTCTATAAGCCAGTGATGTTTTTCTGCATGTATACAGGGGTTTAGCCATGAGAAAGGGGAAGAGATTGAGAAAAATATCACAGGTTCATGGCTGAAACAATCTCACGAGTTTTCAACACAGGAAAGCTTTTTGCTGTGCATTACGACGTTATTTCAGCGAGAGGAAGTACAGAGATTGGCTTATTCAGGCAGTAACGCTACAAGCCCGTCTATTTTTGTCATTTCATAGAGCAGAAAGACCAACAGCATCTGGACAAGATGAGGAGTCCTACATTTACCCTGTTAGTGGCTCTTTGGCCTGTGTGTTGTGAGTATTAATTTCTGTCTATTGAAAAGAATTTAAAATACGTCCTCTTAAGTACTGCTTGACGGACAGGGTAAGGTATCGCTTCTAATGTATCTTTGAAAGTATTGTAAAATTTTCTGGGGTCTTTTGGGGTCCTTTTCCTTTTCTTATCTTTCCAGAACCAGTTTCTGAAACAATGTAACATCTATGAAATTCTGGAATTGTTTATACACATCAATATGCCCAATAGAAAAAAATCAATTTACTTTTTTAAGCACTAGCATTTTACAATTTATAGAGGGCTTGCCAAATAAGTATGTTTACTCCTTCACTTACTTTACAGACACATTAACCTAATTACATTCAAATGAATATAGTTACAGTTACCATTTTTGACAGCTGCTTTTTGACATAAATTGAAAACTCATTTTTAAATATATGCACTCCAGGCCACTTGAAGGACCTAAACATGAAAACATACCAAACCAACTGCATTAACCTGCAAATATAAGGGCTTTAGCCTTGCCCATTTCTGCTAAAATCTGCAGTTTAAATGAATGCATTTATACTTAATCGACAATGTACTATAGAGTAAAAAAAGAAACAGCAGCAGCTCAAAAAACTGCTAAGTACTTAGTTTCCTACAGAACTATAGTGGAACTTCTAAGTACATCCAGGATCTGTTAGTGTAGAAACTGAAGCTTGTTATTAGACTCTATTCTTCTTTTTTGGGACTTTACAGTGGACCTGAGTAAGAAGTAGATTCCTTTCCTCAGAAATATATTTCAGTAGAAGTATAGAAAGCATGACAAAGCCAACACTTCAAAAATTAAAGCTTTTTTGTAAATTTAATTGGGTTTGTATAGTAATTAGTATGGTGGCCAAGAAGACCCAACAAACCGCAAATAAAAAAAGCTGCAAAACGCAGAAAACACTTTCATCAAAATGGCGACAACGACGCTACATTTCATAAACACGCTCAAATACGGAAACACATGCAACTTCAGGAACGCTGATAAGCCAGTCACAACACGACGGAGGGGTTTCTGGAGGACACTCAGAGAGGACAGAGCCATTCAGACTTTAAATTCTGTGCAGCACAAAAAGGTTGACTTTTATTTGAGTAGATTATTACTATCACTGTATTGTAATGGGAATTAGCTGTATATATACATTTAACTGTAAACGTTTAACTAGTAACACCAGAGAACTACAAGTGCAGCTGTGACGCCACAGATATTCCATCCCCTTTGAGCCCTTTGAGTCTTCCAGAGACATTTTCACTTTTGTGGTTCACTTCTGTTGCATTGTGACTGGCTTTTCAGCGTTTCTGAAGTTGCATGTGTTTTTTGCATTTACAGTGCGTTTATGAAATGTAGCGTCAGTGTCTTCATTTTGATGAAAGTGCACTGTAAATTAGAGGTAGTTGCTGTTGTTACTACAAGGTTGATATGGTGTTCCAGTTTGTTGTCCCAAGGTGGTTGCTAAGGTGTTGCTAGGCCATTGCTATGGTAGCCAAGGTGGTTGTCAAGGTGTTGCTAGGCTGTTGCTATGGTATCCCAGGTTGTTGCTGAGGTGTTGCATGGCTGTTGCTGTGCTATCCCAGGTGTCTGCCAAGGTGTGGCTAGGTCATTGCTGTGTTATCCCAGATAGTTGCTAAGGTGTGGCTAGGCCATTGCTGTGCTATGCCAGGTAGTTGCTAAGGTGTTGCATGGCGGTTGCTGTGCTGTCCCATGTGGTTGCTAAGGTGTTGCTAGGCTGTTGGTGTGCTATCCTACGTGTTGTCAAGGCGTTGCTAGGCTGTTGCTATGGTATCCCAGGTGGTTGCTGAGGTGTTGCATGGCTGTTGCTGTGCTATCCCAGGTGGCTGCTAAGGTGTGGCTAGTCCATTGCTGTGCTATCTGAAGAATCCAAACCCACAAACCAGGGAACTAGATCTGTTGTCTGGACAAATGAAGTTTATTCGTTGTGCGCACAGGTTCCAGACAACCAGCCAGCCCAGTTTTATAGTTGGACTGATGCCAAGATTAGACCTAGTTTATACAAGACAAGTACCAGGTGTGACAGACATGACCATATAAGGAGGAACACAAAATAGGAAGCCTAAAATACAACTTCAGCACATTCACAAACACTCTACAGAAAGTATAACACAGCACATTTCACAACAATATTCCTTCATATCCCAGGTAGTTGATAAGTTGTTGCTTGGCTGTTGCTGTGCTATCCTAGGTGGTTGCTAAGGTGTTGTTAGGCTACTGTTACGGTGACCTAGGTGGTTACTAATGTGTTGCTAGCATACTTGTGTGATGGTGACATCCCAATTTCCCTGTTCATTCCTATGGAAAAACGTATATTTGAACGAATGTTGTACAAGCACAACAAGTCAAATCAGTAAAAAAGTACAAGTACACTCCACAACTGTGCAAAATTTCATGATTCTGGCTTGAACACTGTATGAGGAGTAGCATTGCACATTTTTGACCAAATTTGTTTATGGGAAACAAAGAAAATTAAGTTGGCTAAGAAGCCTCAAGAAGAACTGAAAACTTTGTCAACTATGCCATGACTGAGTATTTGTTTAATTAATGATTGTAATTATTCTGTTTCCACTTTCATAGCTCTGCAAACACATGGGGTCACTAGAGGTAAGATTCATTATTTTTAGTAGATATTTTAAATGGTCAGAATATGTTATGTCCAGTCTATGTTGCTATGATTATGTATCCAGTTGTAATTTTACAAGTCTTATATACAAGTTCTTATGGGTGAGAGGCACATTTGATATGGTAATCCAAAAAATAACTTTGTCAACTGTCAAAATGCCATAAAAACAGTAAATAATTTATGCTTGACATTATATTCTTAAACTACACAATCTTTCTGGGAGACACTTTACAACTTGATACCATGTGAGTTATATTTATTACCTATAATATATTCATTCACATAAGTTATAGAAATACTTTTGCTTTCAAATTGACAATAATATAACATAGGTTGCTTTTTATCTGTTTTGTTCATGTGGACTTTATATAATTATTTTAATCAGGCCTTTGCTCCACCATCACAGTAGAAAACATAATTTGTACTCCTCACACCTCACATTAATAAGATATTTGAGATATGAGATATTTCCACAACTAGACGCTGTTAACTAATGATCCCTCACAACTCATATAGGTTATTGTTATTGCTGTTGTTTTTATAGATTTTAGAGATGTGCTGATAGGTATTGTGGTATGTCCAATATTTTTCATAGACATATCAAATGATGCTTGTATATGAATGTGCATAAAATGTAGAAATCAGTGCCACATCTATCTGGATTAGCATTACAGAAAAATATAACATTTATTTATTTAGGGTTACAATTACAGTAAAATGAATAAAACGCAGATATTTTAGTACGGTAGGCCAGTGTCACCTAAACATTCTGCCCCTCTGTAGTACAATAAATACATCATCAAATAACAATTTGATGTATTTTTAAAGTAATTTTTCTGCCAATACTGCTATGCTTTTGAGATTATTGTGCACCTTTGGTTCACACTGTCTTTATTCACCACTAAACAGGGGCAACATAAGACTAGGAAGTTTGTGGAATAATAAAAAAATTACTGCTGGGAACTTCCCACAGGTACACAGGTGAATAGGTTAACAGCTAAACAGTCATCATTGGCTGTAAAAGCAGCATTCACGAAAAACTCATTCGCCACTTTGCAAAAAACTGCGCAAGTAAACGGTCCAGTAGTTTAAAAACAACATTTCTCAACACATGATTGCATGAAATGTAAAAACCCTCGTCTGTAAATAAGTTTGTCGCTACATCTACAAATGCAAGTTAAAGACTCAACTACGCAGAGCTGAAGCCATTTATCAGCGACAACCAGAACAGACTTCTCTGGGCTAAAGCTCATCAGAGATGGTCGGATGCAAAGTGGAAACGTGTGCTGTGATCTGACGGGTCCACCTTTCAATTGCTGTTGGAAATAATGGATGTCACGTTCTCTAGGTCAAAAAAGAAAAAGGCCCATTGTGACTGTTACCAGCGTAAAGTTCAAAGCCAGCATCTGTTGCGTTAGGCACAATTAATGCTATATTTGCATTTTGGAGCAGTTTATGCTGCCATCTAGATGATGGGATGTCGGTATTTTTTTGATAAATTATACTGATTATTCTGTTTCCTCTTTCTTTTAGGACTACCAACGTACAAGGAGACTCCCAGTAAGATTCACCCTTTGATCAATAATTTTTTATGCATATCTATGTCAAATTTATATTGTTTTATCATTATATCTCTAGTCTTTCATTAATATTTATTATTCATTATTACACAATACTGAATAAAATGTATTACATTGTTATGATGATGTTATAATATATTAATAATATGATGTTAAAAGGTTCATTAACAATAAATATATCAGTTCAAGACATAAGTGTATGCAAAATATGGTTATATTACATATTTTGTTGATTTTCTAAGTGAAAGTAAGTGAACATATCTACAGTTACTTAAATTTTACACTTGTCTGCTAATTTTAGGAATTTTTATTTCTTTCCTGTTTTTAACAGACTAGAAACAAACACACATAAAATATAAAATGTGCAATAACTTTCAGCACAGGTCACATTTTTTAAATGCAGTAAATAAACAGTAATTGTGCATTAAAATGTGCAGAAGTGTGTTCTCTGCAGAGGATATGTTATTTTCACTTCACAAAATTGACAAAATGTAATGTACCCAAACTTTTGCAGTTGACTGTATAATAAATTTATATTGTATTTATGGTACACCTTTTTTTTACCATAATACTTCAAATTACATTTCACATAGTGAGATTTTTTGTTATTTGAAGATTTTGTGTTATTCTTTTATTGGGATGCTTCTTTTATATTGTGTTGATTAAATGAATTAATTGGGAATTTCTTTGTGTCTCCACCCTCATACACTCACTGTGATTTCTGGTTATGAGTTTGAACCTTTAAAACTGTGAGTAATTTGTTCTTGTTGTGTATTTTTGAAGCTCTACATCGGAAGGAACCATTTTATCCGAGAAGATGTAAGTTTTGTTTATTTATTTCATTTGAACCTGCAGGATGTGCAGTTAGGAAATCAATAAAAGATGTGGCCAGATTCATAAAACCCACCGAGAGATTTACTGTGATGTTTAGGGTAAACAGGGTGGCGCTAACAGGTTTTGCTCATTACCAAACAAGGATTACTGGCCAGTGTTACTGGTCACAGTGTGATGTGAGGTGTGATCAGATTATTTTCTTAGTGATTCATTACACAAATCCTGCAAAAAGTAATGACGGAACTGCTCTGAGGGTAATTTTCTCCGTAAAAAGTCGACGTGGATTAAATTATATTTTCTACAATGTGTCCCAACATGTTCAGTTGCACATTCATGTTATGCACATTCATCCACTCAGCTGTATTATCCAATATATTTAAAATGCTTCGATCGATTTGGACGGATCATTACAGCAAACCTGCCTGCTGCTGTAGGAGCACACGAGGAGGAAGAAGACTTTTATGTTATGCAACCCCCACCCCCCCCCCGTGTGTGGAGAGAAGATTTAGCTTGTAATCCAAATAAGTATACAGTGATTTGAACTGTTGAGATTCTAATTACAGGTTAAAATTGGTGTTATTGGAAGCAGTTTTAGCTTTTAATCCTGTTTTTTAAGTTGCAATTGATTTTGCAAAGGAATTCAATTAACATGTGCAAAAAGTATATTTTTACAAGTGAAAATTTTGTTGCTTATTTCAAAGCTGAATTCAAATAGTTTTGAATTAAATTAAATTAAAATAAAATTATCATTCATTTGAATAATTAAAATTTAGTACTTAAACATGGAATTTTAATTTTTACATGCGTACATAAAATATTCTGACATTGTGAATTCAATATTTGGTCATTTGAATTGAATATATATATTGAATATTGAAAATAAGGAAATAAAAGCTTAAACAGCTTGCCACAATAATAAATGTTAGCATACCAATTTAATATTAAATTGTAAGTTGTTAAAAAATTACTACGTTAAACTTTAATTCATGTTAGCAAAAATTGTTACTGCCATTATAATGGACTGGAAAAAGGCTTGAATTCTCATCAACAAGAAATTAAATCTTACATGATCCATCCATCCATCCATCATCTAAACCGCTTATCCTTCTGGGTGGGGTGCTGGAGCCTATCCCAGCTGTCACTGGGTGGAAGGCAGGATACACCCTGGACAGGTCGCCAGTCCATCGCAGGGAAATCTTACATGATAAAATATAATAATTCCTACAATTAAAAATGTACAAAAAAATACATATTTTTTTCTAGCATAACCAACATTTTTGCTTCTTGATTAAAGGTTAAGAGCATTTTTACTAAACAATTTGCTGTTATTTGTCAGCACTTCTCTTAAAATTCACAACTTTCCAAGGAATTTTAGTTTTCTTTGTTTCTTTGTTTTCATGTCATTTGGCAGCCAACTGGAGCTTCACTTGGATTGGGTTTTTAATATGTATGACCCCATTTGCATGTTGATTTTGATTGCCTTGACAGCATTAAAAAAACATTGGGGCACTAATCAGCACCATGCTGACTTTATGAACAGCTCTTTTGCTTGACGTAGATCTGTTACTGCTGAGTTTTATGAATAGGGCACACAGCCGAAAGCATTGGAATGGCAAGGCAATGTTTTTGTTTTTTTTATGCACTTGAAGACATTTGGGTTTGAGATCAAAAGATGACAATAGATCAGATTTTTAGCTTTTATTTCCTTATATTTTAATCCAGTACACATTTTGTCAAGTGAGCAGAAATATTAGAACATGTAACTGACAGGTGTTTCGTGTCACCCAGTTGTGCCCTGCTAGACTGATTGTTTAAATCATTAATAGCTCTGAATGTCAGCTCTTGGTTTGAGCCCTGGGTTTCACCTACGAAGTCAGCATTTGTTGTTAAAAAGGATAAACCTAACATGAAGATCAGACAGCTGTCTAATGGAGAAAAGCAATTTGAAAATGAAATTTTGAAGCTGAGAAAAGAGGGAAATTTGATCTGCACCACTGCACAAGCCAATACAACAATTTGGAATGCCCTGAAAAAGAAAAAACACTAGTGTACTAACAATCAGACATCAAACAGATTGGCCAATGAAAACAACAGCAGCTGATGACAGAAACATTGTGAGAGCTGTCAAGAAAGACCCACAAACCATAGTCAGTGACAACACCAGCAGCCTCCACAGGGCAGGGTTGAATGTATCACAATCCACTGTTTGAAGAAGAGCAGAAATATAGAGGCCATACCACAAGATTCAAACCACTCTTCAGCAGTAAGAATCAGAAGACCGGATTGGAATTTGCAAAGAAATGCAGAGCTGAGCCTCAGAAGTTCTGGAGGAGGTTATGGACTGATGAGACTAAGATTAACGCCTGCCAAAGTGATAGAAAGGCAAAAGTGTGAAGAAAGAAAGGCCTGCTAATGGTCCAAAACTGTACAAGCTCATCGGTGAAGCATGGTGGAGGTAGTGTCATGGCTTGGGCTTGCATGGCTGCTTCTGGAAAGAGCTCAATAATCTTTACTGATGATGTAACTCATGATGGTAGCAGCGGAATGAATTCAGTAGTACACAGAAACATTCTGCCTGCCAATTTACCGTGAAATGCATCCGGTCTAATCAGGAGGAACTTCACCGCACCATTACCAAACACCCTGCCAACAAAGGATTCAACAGGGGAAAAACAGAGGGACAAGTCAATCACCAGAACCTTAACCTAATACATTTTACCTACTGAAGAGGAGAAACCTCCCAAAACAAACAACAGCTGAAATAAGCTGTAGTAAAGGCTTGAAAACGCATCACAAAAGAAGAATGCAATAGTTTGGTAATGTTAGTGAGTCTCCAGCTTGATGCAGTTATTGCAAGCAAGGAATATGCAACCAGTGTTATTTACTTTAATTTACTTTCAAACTTTAAGTTCTATACTTTTTTCTCACCTAAAAACTGGGTTTTCTGAGCTGTTCAACCTATTTACACGTAAACATCAGGAAACAAAAGCTGAAATTCTGATCTGTTGTCTCATGCTTTCATCTCAAACCCTTATGGCTTTGCTGTATGGCAAAAACAAAATAGCAAACAAAAACAAACCCTTTAAAAAATTAACCTTTATCGTGTGCAATTAAAATGACTAAATTGCAGCTATTAAACTCCCTTGTTGTGTTTCAGACATTCCTGTCCCCACTGTGGAGGTCTATCAGCAGGTGGAGGGCAGGGAGAGGGTTCTTGTTGTCTGTCAGTTTGGAACAAAGACCAGCAGGAGCTCTTTCCAGCTGTCTGTCACAGAAGGTAAAAGTTCCTACATGCTGTATGACCCAGCATGCACTGTGGAATTTGTATGTATGTTTAACGCCACAGTGAGCCCACCTGCCTCGTTCAGCTGCATGCATGGACTCAACAGACCTGACGCTTCCCCGGCCCAGTTCAGTGAAACCTACTTTTACCATCCACAAGGTGAGATTCTTCATTTACCTCCACTTTGTCCTGTTGTTTATGTCAAGATCTACAGCATAACAGAAGGCTTTTCTCACTTTGTGTACACTAAAATGAATAGTCCTTTGGCTGTACTTGCAGAACCATGTACACGTTTAAAGTATTTTTTTCAGTGTATGTGTTTGTTGTATTGTAATGAAATACGTTATTCAGAATGTATGTCTTTATAAACTGTACAGAACTGTGGTATTTAATTTCTATGGTATCGTACCAGTCTGGCATTAAAGGGCCCATATCCTACATTTTTTATCTATTTTAATCCCTGTGAGGTCCATTTATGATGTCTGTTTTGTATTGTGCACCAAAAACGGTCATAATTTATTTTTACATCACCATTTTCCAACCTCTCTTTACTCCATGAGAATTAAACAGGCTGTTTCTGTTACCACTCTAAGACATATATGTAAATGACCTCTGTATGGATTGGCTGCTCTGTATTGTGCCTTGGTGAAAATGATATGATTTTTATTGCACAGCTTAAGCAGTTTCCAGGTGATTTTTTAGGGTGTTGCAGAACGGTTAGCGGTTGATATAGTGTTGCTGAACGGTTAGTGGTTGCTAAGGTGTTGATGAATGGTTACTATGGTATCCAGGTGTTTGCTAGGGTGTTGATAAGTGGTTGCTATGGTATCCAGGTGGATGCTAGTGTGTTGCTAGGTGGTTGCTAAGGTATCTAGGTGGTTTCTAGTGTGTTGCTAGGTGGTTGCTGTGATATCCACGTGGTTGCTAGGGTGCTGCTAGGCGGTTGCTAGTGTTTTGCTAGGTGGTTGCTGTGGTATCCAGGTGGGTGCTAAGGTGTTGCTAGGTGGTTGCTATGATATCCAGGTGGTTGCTATTGTGTTGCTAGGTGGTTGCTATGGTATCCGGGTGTTTGCTAGGGTAATTGATAAGTGGTTGCTGTGGTATCTAGGTGGTGGCTATCTTATCCAGGTGGTTGCTACTGTGTTGCTAGGTGGTTGCTATGGTATCCAGGTGGTTGCTAGGGTGCTGTCAGGCGATTGCTAGTGTTTTGCTAGGGTGTTGCTGTGGTATCCAGGTGGTTGCTAGTGTGTTGCTAGGTGGTTGCTAGGTGGTTGCTATGGTTTCCAGGTGGTTGCTAATGTTTTGCTAGGTGGTTGCTATGGTTTCCAGGTGGTTGCTAGGGTGTTGCTAGGTGGTTGCTATGGTTTCCAGTTGGTTGCTAGGGTGTTACTAGATGGTTGCTAGGGTGTTGCTAGATGGTTGCTACTGTGTTGCTAGGTGGTTGCTGTCTTATCTAGGTGGTTGCTAGTGTGTTGCTAGGTGGTTGCTATGGTATCCAGGTGGTTGCTAGGGTGTTGCTAGGTGGTTGCCATGATTCCACACATGGTTAATAGGGTGTTACTAATTGACTTGTGTCAACATGACATAAATTGGGTGCAAATTTTTGCACCCCATTCAGTCTTATGGGAAAAAATAGTAATTTAATGATAACTGAATGAAAACCATGTGTCCAATCAAAAAGCTATATACAAGCACTCATATTCCCAATCAGACCAAACGGTCTGGAGTTGAAACACTGTCGATATCTTGAAAACTTAGCAGACAAAAAAATATGAACCAAGAAGAATATACCGTCAGACAATAATGTTGCTTACACGTCAATCATTAATTATTTTTCCCCAACCACTGGTGCAAAAGTCATTACATTTTGATGGAAAACAGGAATTTTGTCCTTTAAATGGTATATCATACTTAATATGAACTAACAACATAAACATATCAATTCTTTAAGCAATATTGATTTAATACATTTGTAAGCAGATAATCATAAGCTTATATGCTTTTCGCACAATACCTCTCATATTTCCTCCTGTTTCAGAAGTCTCTAATCAACCAGTGCCAGCAGTGTCTCCATTCTACATTGGCTTTGCTTCTCTCATCGGAGTTTGTCTCATTGTCATGGTGATCGTGATGGTAGTGACCACACTGAGGACCAGACATAAAGGTAGGAAAGATTTCCTCAAAATGGTCCTCACTGCTGTGTGCTGCTACGGCTCTCCTGTGCTTTATTACAGTAAGGACTGTAATTCTGTCTGGATGCTCAAATGATGCTCTCCATGTTGACATGCACTCTTAAAGGAACGTATGATCCGTAAAAGGGTTTAGGAACCTTTAATTAGTGCAGAACCTCAACATTACTTGGGGGTTCTTTACACTTGTTGTTCACATTCACACAACAAAAATGGTTCTTTAAATTTTCCTTGCTTTTTTAAAATAAAATGCAAACATTGTTAAAATTTCAAAACATACCCTTCACTCTCCAGTCTATTCAGTCCGTATATGAAGGCCAAGGTGCCACAACTGTCCATTTTGAATTACTTGTTTTTGTGATGTCATAAAAACCAGTCCATTTACATAGATCCATATATCTCTTCAGCCTACAGCAGCTTAGACCCACTCGTGCTGAAATTATAAGAAGTGTTTCAGCCTGGACTGTTTTTTGAAAGGGACACACATTACAGGACAGCCAATCAGGACAAAGGTCATTTACATACATCATTTTTAGAGGTACAGTCACAAAAACAGCCCGTTCAATTTTAAGATTAAGAGACTTATTAGTCCCACAATGGGGAAGTTTCACCTCCGTATTTAACCCATCCATGCAGTGAAACACCTCATACACACTAGTGAACACACATACTAGGGGGCAGTGAGCACACTTGCCCAGAGTGGTGGGCAGCCCTATCCAGAGCGCCCGGGGAGCAGTTGGGGGTTAGGTGCCTTGCTCAAGGGCACTTCAGTCACGTATTGTAAGCTCAGGGGATCGAACCAGTTCCGGTTACAGGGCTGATTCCCTAACCTCCAGCCCATGACTGCCTCCATTTTAGGGAACAGGGAGAGAATTCCACAGTTATAAATGGTCACGTAAAAATGAATTATGACTGTTTTAATACATAAAACATTACAAACATCATAAGTGTACCTCAAGGAAAAAAATCTGAAAAAATGCATGATGTGGGCTCTTTAAATAATAACCCCCTGAACAGTTCTTTATGGAACCAGAAGGGTTCCTTTATGGCATCACTTCAAAAAAGCCTATTTAAGAGTGTCGTAACCATGAAAGAAAGGTCTCTATAGTTAGTCATAGCAATGTAAAATGCTGTAGGCCTTCATGTTGATTGTTTTCTGCAGAGCTGCTATTGCAAAGGCTTGTGATGCTTTTGGAGCCTCCTGGTGTTCATGAATAGCACTGCTGCTTAAAAACAAATGTCCTGTTTTTTTCCACACAGGTTCCCGCAGAGAGGCCCAGGAGAGCGCCTATGAAAAGCTCCCGCTGGGAAGGCATGAATAGGATTAAAGGATGAAAGGAAATGAGTTCAGGATTTTATTAGCTTTTCTGCTGCAGGACGGACAAAAGCCATGAAATGAAAGCAATTTATTTATGCATGTTTCTTTACAAACCAGCTATTTTTCATTTATTGAATAATCATCCATTGATTGTGTTTTGTTATTTAGCCTTCAGTCATTGATTGTGTTTGAAGCACTTTTTTAATGTCTGAATTAAACAATTAAAATTATTTCACACATCAGCTGTGCTGTTCTTGGATGATGATATTCAGGCATTTCACCAGGACTGATTCTGTAATGTTGGGATCACAGTTCTATCAGACTGTACTGTGTGTAATACTACATGGACAATGGTGATTTAGTTGTTTGCTTCATTCAGCAACTCACAGAACACTCATACACTCCTCTATCCATCCTTCCTCTTCTCTCCCTTCCCGTCATCTCTTTCTCTCATCTTCCTTTTGCCCCCCCACCCAATTCTATCTCTCATGTTCCTTCTGTCTCACTTGTTCTCTCTCTCCAATTCCTCTCTTCTCTCTCTCTCTCTTCTCTCTCTCTCTCTCTCTCTCTCTCTCTCTCTCCCAGCTCCATTTTCACATCCCTCTGTTTTCAGAGACAGGCTCCTCCCTTCTCCTCCTCCCTCCCTCCCTCTATTCTCTCTCTCTCTGTCTGTATCTGTGTGTGTGTGTTCAGTGGTTCAGTAGCAGTGTATCTCTCCGTGGCAGGGGCAGCTTCATTCTCTCCTGCAGGATGTCGGGCCCTCGGACCAGCTCCATACTGCTGCTGTTCACCATCGCCTCCCTGCAGAACGCTCTGCTGGAGGCTAAGGTAACACACACACACACACACACACACACACACACACACACAGTCTCTTCTTTACCACAAAAAACACACTCACACATCAGCATTGCAGTGGGTTGTTATTAAGTCAGTTACCTAGAAACAGTGAGGCCTTTCATGCGTTTCTTTATTGCTGCTTTGTAATAGTTTTGTCTTCATCTATCTATCTATCTCTGTCTGTCTGTCTGTCTGTCTGTCTGTCTATCTATCTATCTACGTGATGGCATAGAAGAACAGGTTTTGGTTCCCAAAAGAACCTTTCAATGGATGGTCTTTTAGAGAACCATTTTTGTAAATGAGATGTGTGAAGTGTAAAGAACCTTTTTAAAGTTTGAAGAACCTCAGCACAATGTGAATGTTCTTGGAAAAACCCTGAAACTTTTACAAACATGGTTCTTTACGGTACTTAAATGATTCTTCGATGGCATCAATCAAAGAACCCTTTGTGTCACCTTTTTAGAGTCTATCTATCTATCTATCTATCTATCTATCTATCAGTAAATGTAGATGTAGAGTAAAATTAAACTACAGAAAGGTGAAACTGAATCATACGCAGTCAGAAAGGCTGTGCTGTGAATAATGTCCCATTTTTTTCAGCAATGAGATTATCTAACATTTCTAATCATATTAAGTGAGTCAGACAGTCATTACTTTGCGATAAGGAAGTGAGTGAAATGCATTGCTTCAGGGTCCAGACCTCTCATTCCCCACTCCTAACTTAATAATAACTGAGTCAGTTTGCATTGACTGCTGTGGAATTACTGATTAATAAGCCAGTGGATGTAATAAGTCTGGGGACTTGAAGGGTTAATATGCTGATCAGGGTGTTGACTGAATCCTGTGTTTTATTTCACAATGTATTATTGATATTGTAGGGAGTGTAAAATAGGCAAATGCATGTAAAACATCAGTGGCTTCTGTTAAATAACGTCGCAACAAAAACCTCTTCATAACAGAATCTCTGGAGGTTAAACATTCTTAACCTTTAAGGTAACATAATGAGCTTCAGGACCATTTCTGTCCCTTCATTCATCATTAAATGTCCACACAGTGTACAATGCAGCTGTCTTTTTTCAACTGAGGTGAAGTGTTTTGATATGATGATAATCTTGAGCCTGGGCACAGTGGAAAGGACACTTCTAGGGTTTGCAGTAATAGTAGCATTAAACACTATCTGGTTGACTCCGTTCATTTGTGCTGGGCTCATATTTGATTTAGTAGTACTGCAGGCAGAGCGGATGAGTTGACCTGCATTCATTACCAGGCAACGGCACAGCGGCGGTTGACAGCGCTGCTCTGTTCCCTCATAAAATCATGATTCAATTCTAGAAGGTTCTCAGAAGTGAGCTTCTGAGAAAATAAGCTAAAATGTGAAAATAAGATAAAACATTCTCTACAGGGAACACAGTTAAATATGACTCTTTTCTGCAAATTGTAGTGCAAAATGTCAGTTTAACAGATAGGAAAAAATAAAACATTAAATATACACAAAATATTCTAACTTGGCATTTAATATTTTATTGAAATGATCTTAAATGAATTAAATAAACAGTAATTGCACAGTAAAATGTTCAGTTAACTTATTTTCATGTAGAAAATATGTAATTTGACTAGGGGCACCCAAATATGCACACACACTATATTACCTTCTAAAACTAGATCTTATTTCATGACATGCGTCTCATATATATATATACATATATATATATATATATATATATATATATATATATGTGTGTGTGTGTATACTGTACTATAGGTCAAAACTGCCCTCAAAAACTGAACCAACAGGGTTGGTTTGATAGATGGAAGATCGTCATTAATTACAGTAGCGTTCTGTTTAAGGTGTCAAAGTCCATGTATGCTGACTCTACTCTGTTTGATTGAATTGATTAATGATTCACAGGGTCTATTCCTGAAATTGTGTACCAGTTCTCCTATCAGAAGGCTTCGGGATATTTTTAGCTGTTAGATTGCTCTGAGCCGTCTCAGTGCAGGGTAAGATAAATGCAGTCTCATCGAGTTCAGCACCTGTGAGTCTGTGGGGATTTGTGTGATGATTATGCTGTTTTTCTTAGTAGCCCTGAGCAAAAACATAGATTTAGAAATGACTGCGTTCGACTTTTGGATGATTACTGTGTTGTATGTCTACTGACTGACCACAGCATATCTTTTAGGACTTAAAAAAACAGGCTAGCGAGGCTTAAAACTGAGACTGAGAGCAATGGTCTTCTTTTTATCCAGCAAATGTCTGATGAAATAATTCATTTAGGATTTCACCACAGACGATTTGCCACGTCTGTTGAATTTATTGAGGCAGAGGTCAGTCTATCATCTACTGATCCTGGGGTTCCGTGAGGTTAAGGACATCAGTGGGATGGTCCTGAGTGGTAATTTGTTGATATCAGATAACCCAAAATAATCAGCTGTGCTATCAATGCTGTGGGTTATCACACAGTTTATTTACATTAAGGTCTCAAATTAGCATGTGCATTCACCGCTCTTCCTGGTACTGATGGTCTAGTGACCTCGAATGAAAATGAAGGCAGGGAGAGAGAGATGTATAACCTGTTGTTGTCACGCATCGTTGAAACAGCACTATCAGATCTCTCCATCTCTGAAGGCTGTGTGTGTTCAGCACCGCGGACAGCGCACTGGAGAAAAGCACAGAGCAGAGCAGCAGTGAAGAGGAGACGCAATCATGAGTCGGTTGTTTTTGAAGAGAAATGAATATAATAAACACAAGGTAGCTGTTCATTTCTCTCCATAAACATCTGCCTCATGTTCTTTTCTCTCCTCAAACTGCCCCAGGTTCGTTTATCGCCATAGAAATATGCTTGATGTTCGTTTCTCTCCACAAACATCCACTCTATGTTCTTTTCTCTACATAAACATCTGTCCCATGTCCGTTTATCTCTATGAACATCTGAACTATGTTCATCACATTTGTTTCTCTACATAAACATCTGCTCTGTTTGTCTCTCTCAATAAACATCTGTTCATTATATTCATTTCTTTCCACAAACATCTGCCCGACATTAGTTACTATTCATTATGAAGAGAAACAAACATGAGGCAGATGTTTATAGAGATAAGCGAACATGGGGCAGATGTTTATGGAGATGAACGAACATGGGGCAGATGTTTATGGAGATAAGCAAACATGGAGTAGATGTTTATAGAGATAAACGAACATGGGGCAGATGTTTATAGAGATAAACGAACATGGGGCAGATGTTTATAGAGATAAGCGAACATGGGGCAGATGTTTATGGAGATGAACGAGCATGGGGCAGACGTTTGTTTAGAGAAACTAACCTAGAGCAGATTTCTATAGAGATAAGCGAACATGGGACAGATGTTTATAGAGAGAAACGAACATGATGCAGATGTTTATAGAAATAAACGAACATGGGGCAGACGTTTGTTTAGAGAAACTAACCTAGAGCACATTTCTATGGAGATAAATGAACATGGGGCAGATATTTATGGACAGAAACAAATATGGGGCAGATGTTTATGAAGAAAAACCAACATGGGCAGATGTTCATGGAGAGAAAGAAACATGGGGCAGATGTTTATGTAGAGAAATTAACATTTGGCTGATGTTTTTTAGAGAAACGAACATAGAGCAGACTTCTATGGAGACAAACATGAACATGAGGCAGATGTTTATGGAGAGAAATGAATGTGATGAACATGGGGCAGATGTTTATGGAGATAAAGGGACATTGGGCGGTTTTCAGAGATGAAATGATCGTGGACCCTGGCGTTCATGAGGAGAAATGAACGTGGAGCAGCTGATTTCAGCGAATGTGCCGAGAATACTGAACTCTGCTCCTGAGCGCAGTGAGCGGAATCAATAGGAGTGGTCGCGCGATCTAATTAGCTGAAAACACACTGAGAGCGGAGGAGGCTGCTGCCATGGCAACTGCTTTCAGCGGGCACGAGCACATTCATTTTCCTCTTGGAACAGCGCGCACACACACACACACACAACACACACACACACACACACACACACAGTGAGATATAATTTCACAGAAGTCTTCAACACTGAACTGTTGATCGCTCATTAATTTATGATTATGAATTCATCATCACTGAACACGTTATGTCTTTAAAGAGTCTGTATGTTTTTTTAATAAAGTTTTATGTAGTATGTAAATATTGCTAAATAAACTAATGACTCCTCACTACAGTCCAGATATATAAACCAATCTGCAGATTCGAATTCGCTGCTGCTGTGATGTCATAAAAATGCATATTTACACATATCCATATATTCATCCTATAGCAGTTAAGCCCCGCCCCCTCACATTGAAGTTACAAGGAGTGTTTCAGCCCGGACTGCCTTTTGAAAGAGGCACAAAACAGGGCAGCCAATCAGAACAGAGCTCATTTATGTATATCAGTCTTAAAGGCACAGTAACAAAAGCAGCCTGTTTAATTGTAAAGGATAAACTAGGTTGGAAAAAGGTCATGTAAAAACATAAGGGCTTTTAGGATTGTTATAAGTGGCCCACAGGGAAAAAATAAAATGCAGGAAAAATGTAAATTGTGGGCTCTTTAACAGCAAACAATGCAACAAAACAGGAATAATAAAGGAAAATAACACCAATTTTTGAAATTTCTGCATAATTGAATAAGATGTGAATAAAGTCATTCACAGTGGTTTGGTGTCAAATGCTCCACTTTAGAGAAACTTACCCAGTCAGAATTTTTCACAGTGATGGTGATAGGAGCTAGATGTTGAAAGTGTTTAATTCCTCGAAAGGCCGTCTCACAGAAGATGTGACGTAACCATATTGTAAAAGTCAAACTTCATACCATGGCTTTTTTTAACACATCACGCCCCTTTACCTGAAAATATGAACATACATCATCGAGAAGATAAGGAAAATTTAAATTCTTCATTTCGTCAAGCATGTAGTTGGTCGTCCATGTAGTGTCGCTCCAAAAGTGTTTTGCTGCATCTCACAGCA